AAAAAGAAAGATCAGCTGGACTTCTCCCCAGCTAAGAATTTTGAAACACAGTGGTCAAAGTTGTGAGGAGGGGTCAGATTGATGGAAGAGGGGCTTGGGGGTCAAGTGGACATGATACTGTGTGACCTGACCTGGGAGTGACTGGGAGTGAGAGAGGGGAGAGTCCCCTCACAGACAACTGCATGTGGGTGGGCAGTTGGGGGAGGCTCCAAGAGGGAGGCCAGGGTCCTGAAACCTTGGAAGCAGGGCTCCCAGTGTGCAGAAATAGAGCAAAGGTACACAGGGCTTCCTGGGCTCTGATTGTCCTATAGCCCAGGACCAGGAGAGACTGGAGAAAGGAGATGCTGGGAAGAGCCAGCCCCACTGAACAGTTCCAGAGGGAAGACAGGTACTGAAGGGAAGGTCACAGGAGCCTGGGCAAAAGTCCCCAAAAAGACTGCCTAGAAAAGTGGATGCTGAGAAGAGCACTAAGGGAGACTTCACAGAGGGGAGAAGAGAGGAGGAACAAGAAGGGACCAGAGCAGGGACGGGACAGAGAGTGGAGAGAGCAAAAGGGAGCAGGAAGGCTGGTGGGCCGGTAGAGAGGGGAAGGTGGCAGGTGGAAGGCTGAGAGGCCGAGGGGCGGGGAGGAGGGGTGAGCTATAGAGAAGGCAGTGGAAGCTTGACATTCAGGGCAGCACTGAGAGGATCAAGTGGCACCGGTGGCCTTTCCATTTGCTGAGGGAACAAATCCTGGAAGAGCCGAGAGCCAGTTTGCTAGAGAAGCCACATCTGAGGTATTGCCCAGGAGGACTGAGGGTCATGGCTGGGAGGGTCTCTAGCGCCAGGTGTCCCAGGCAGCTCACACACTCCCATTCACACCTGAGGCTGTGACAAATGGGACTCTCATCTTGGCTGGGTTCCTGGGGTTCTCAGGAAGGGAGGAGGATTGTAGGCCCTAAAAGAGGCAAGTCAGGGTGGATCCTGCTTAGGTGCTGTCTGAAAACTTCTAGGCCTTGGGGGGAAGGGGTGGGGTGCTGGGTTTGGCAAGAAGAGTGGGTTTCATATTTCTGGGAGTTTCCAGAGTTTCCAAGGATCTTCTCAGGACCTGAGGCAAAAGGGAAGGATGCTGTAGGAACAGCAGCTCTGGGATCAGTTGGCTTAGTTGGAGTGAAGACCTCCCACTGCCTGCCACAGGGGAAAGGGCGCCTGGAGCCCGAAGTGAAGTTTGGTGAGGGCTTGTAGAGAGACCAGGGAGCAGGAGACAGAAGGGGAGGTTGGGGCAGGGGCATTGAAAAAGGGTTCTGAATTTGGGAAGGAGGTCCTGGGACTTTGGAGGCCTGGCTATAGCAGCTTCTGTGATGAGGGGCCATGGCTGAGACAGTGGCACTTTTCTGCGCCAGGGGTGTGAAAGAGTGTATGCGTGTGTGTGCCTCTGTGTGTGCGTGTGAGTCTGAGTGCCTGCCTCCACAGTGTGTGACTGAACATACATCTCTGTGTGTTTGCAGGAGCGTCTATACGTCTATGGGGTACGTATCTGTGTGTATCTGACGTTTCTGTGTGTGTTCACATGAGTGTCTTCATGTGAGTTCGTGTGCCGTGTGGATCTGTGTCTCCCTGTGTGTGTAATCTCTGTGCTTGTCTGTGTGCGTGCATGCACGCTCCGTGGTCTGTGCCCATGTGTGATTGTTGTACATATGTGTGTCTCTGGTGGAGAAGCCCTTGTGGGTGAAAGAGCATTATTCAGCATGATTGTGGGACTTGATTCTTGGCCTTGAGTTCCTTGTGAAAGGAACATTGTGGTGTGATTTCAAAGGTCCTTCAAGTGAGAACAGTGCCTTCTCCAAAGTCTCTGGTTGGGCAAGCTGTTGTGTGTATGCTCCTGAGAGGTGCACCGGCTCACTCTCCCTGGCCTTCACTGACAGTGAACTTTGCCATTTATTGCAAAAGTCTGTATTTGTGTACAGAAAGTCTGGTCATGAGTGTTTGAAAATTTACTTGTGTATGGCTTTGGGGGTGTTGGGACCACACTGGCCCCAAGTCAGCTCTGTTCTACAAGCAGTTATTGAGTGGGTGAGAAGGACCCACCTGCTGAGAGCCGAGTGATGTAACAACTGGAAAGAATTCTACTCCCTTACCTTGTGCCACCAACTGCCACCTGCCCTGCCCTGTGCCTCCTGTTCTTCCTGCCACCTCCTGTCCTTCCTGCCACCTCCTGCCAGGCTGGCTCTGGGAAGTGGGTGAAAGGAGATGTCAAAACCCATGTGTGGGTCTCTGGCTACCTCCCAGGGGTGGTGCTCCTCTGTGACACTTGGTGCTGAGGCATGAGGAAGAGACGATCTCAGCCACCCAGGGAAGGTGGTAGGTGGGCCAGGAAGACTGGCACGGCACCCTCCCAACCACTGGATTCTGCTCTGTACCCTCCCCAGGCAGCGGTCACTGTGGCGGTGAGGCTGTGGCTGGGAGCACAGGATGCCCCAGGCCCTGGAGCAGGCAGATGGCAGGTGGGCCTGGGTGGTACTGCTGGCCTCCCTGGTGTCCCAGGGCCTCACCCTGGGCTTCCCCACGTGCATTGGCATCTTCTTCTCGGAACTGAAGCATGACTTCCAGGCAAGCAACAGCGAGACCTCCTGGGTCCCCTCCATCATGATAGCTGTAATCCACATTGGCGGTGAGCAGCCAGGGACAGGGCTGAGGGAGGTATAAGAGAGGGCCTGGGGTGGGTGTGGGGGAGAAAGGCCCAACCTCTCTGGCCTCCTGAATCTCTCTCTGAGACCCATAGTCTTTGCCTCCTGGGTGAATTCCTGATATAACTTGATTTCACTCAGCAGGGCCCCCTGGCTGGAATCCAGCTGAGCCAGGTTGTATCCCCAGGAGGCTGGGTTGGGCAGGGGGAAAGAATGGGAAGGTATCTGAGATGCAAAGCCAGGCAGGAGGATAGATCCAGACACAGGTGTAGGTGTTTGGGGACACTCAGTGCTAGACTGGGAGGAGCTGGCCTCAGGGCCAGCACACTGAGACTACTGTTTTCCAGCTGAGTGATCTCTCTGAACTTCAGTTTCTTCCTCCAGCATCCTGCCTGTCTCCCACATGGGATGGCAGGGAAAGTGGGCCGTAAAAGACACTGGGAGCCAGGACGTACATGCAGCTATGAATCATTAGTATTTTGGAACCCCTCACTGGGGCTTCAGGATGGAAAGGGATACAGGCTAGATACCAGGAACAAGAAGGAGGCAAGGCAAGAGTCCCATCACTGCCTGGGGCTCCCTGCAGGGGAGGTTGCCAAGGCTGGGGTGATGGAGGGAAGGTCTCACCACAGGCCTCGGAGGCCCGTTTCCTGGCTGTCTTTGTCAAGAATGGAACTACAGGCTGGGCGCCTGTAGCACAGTGGTTATGGTGCCAGCCATATACACCAAGGGTGGCAGGTTCAAACCCAGCCTGGGCTAGCTAAACTGCAACAAAAAATAGCCAGGTGTTGTAGCAGACACCTGTAGTCCCAGCTACTTGGGAGGCTAAAGCAAGAGAATCACTTAAGCCCAAGAGTTTGAGGTTGCTGTGAGCTGTAACATCACAGCACTCTACCCAGGGCAACATGATAAGACTGTCTCAAAAAAGAAAAAGAATGGAACTGCATAACCCTGACCCCAGCAATGGAGGTAGGGCAGGAGCCAGCCTTCTCCACAGTAGCCCTCAACACAGGGACCTGCCCTCAGCTCCTGGGAGCTCTCTGGAGAGATAACACACAGCAACCTCAGGGGGTCTGGGCAACTGGAGCCTGACCCAAGGCCACAGGGCTCTCCTCATACCTGTGTTTGCTGGCCTCAGCTGACCCCATCTCCCTGGCAATCTCCTTGCCACTCCCTCCACCTGCCACCAGCAGCCTGCTTGTTATTCCAGGTCCTATCCTCAAATTGGGAGGGAGGTGAGAGTGGGGGAGATTGCCACTGCCCACAAAGCCTGAATTAGCCTTCTGGGGCTTGGGCTCAGAGCAAGGAGAAATGCCTGGCCTTAGCCCAAGACTGCATGGTCTTTGGCCTGCAAGGCTGTGGCAGGGAGCAAGAGCCTCAGAGTGTTCCTTCTCACTCAGGCAGAGGGGCCTGGGCTGGGACTAAGAACTAGGCATCTGGGAACTCACTACCTAGCAGGCATTCCAACATCTAAGTCGACATCATCTCTCTCATACGCACACAAAATCTTTGGCCCATATTCACTTAGAGTATTGTAGGTTTTTTTGTTTTTTGTTTTTGGGGTTTTTTTTGGAAATAGAGTCTTGCTCTGTTGCCCCAGCTGGAATGCAATGGTGTCATCATAACTCACTGCAACTTCAAACTCCTGGGCTCAAGCAATCCTTCTCCCTCAGCCTCCCAAGTAGCTGGGACTACAGGTGCATCACTGCACCTGGCTGATTTTTCTAATTTTAGTAGGGATGAGGACTCAGGCTGATCTTCCTAACCCTAACCCTAACACCTGAGCTCAAGGGATCCTCTTGCCTTGGCCTCCCAGAATGCTATGGTTATAAGCATGAACCACCATGTTTGGCCTATTGGAGAAGTTTTAAACTTGAATGAATCATCGACCAGCTCCCCTGCCCCCGCAGGTGAGGAGAGAAAGTAAACACAAATTCCAAGGTTGCAGAGTTCTCAGCAGAAGCAACACCCCTGCAGAGTAAACACCCTGCCTCCTTGGGGGCCCACTGTCCTTACCTAGACAGCGGGCCCATGTCCCAGCCCTTATGCTCAACTCCATGACTCAGGGTTTTCCCCAATGTCACCTTCCCCAATTTAGGCCAAAGATTCAGGAATAGAGAAGCTGTATGAGTCAAAGCCCCACCTCTCCAATGGCAGAGATAACTGGCCACCAGCCTTTTGCTTATCTCTGATATCACTCTGTCCATGATTCATGCTGACATTGGCTTACACCCCACATGTCCTCTCCACCTCAAGTGTGCACGTGCACCATGTCTACACACACGTTCCCTGTCTCTTTGGCTATACTCTGGGGAGTAACTTGGAGGAGCCCCGTTATGTGGTGTTCTTGGGGCAGAGCATTCAGTAAAGGAGGCCCCTGCCAGGTGTCTGGGTGCAGCCACAGCTCTTTTCTACTCACTGGGGTGTAGGCTGGTAAGAAAACAGCTAGGGGTGGAGGGGAACAGGCCCCCTTCATATGGAGCCAAACCTCTAGGCTGAGGCATTTGTGGTAGCTGAGCTGAAGGTAATGAAGAGGGGAGAATATAGCTGGCCTGATGTTCTCTAGAACACTCCAGAGGCCAGGACAAAGAGATGCAGAGTGGCCCAGGGCCTCACCCAACTATACAGGTTGGAAGTAGTGTGAGGGCTCTAGCCAATCTTACTGAGGATAGGGGACAGGTAGAACAGGAGCTAGAGGTGTGCACCAGAATTTAGAAGCCCTGGCACACCCTCACCCCACACAGACCCCTAGCAAATGGGGTCCACCCAAGTTGTGAATCAATCCTGTTTCACCTGGACGGAAATGGCCTTAGGTGGGTGCAGCGCATGGCCTTAGTCTGCCCCTCTGGGTATCCTTGTCAGGGTCAGACATCACCCATCTGTCCCCTCACTCTGTAAGGGAAGAAACTGAGGCACAGAGAAACATCAATCAGGCCTCTTCTGGGCCACACAGCTGGTCCTAGCAGGGTAGAGATCAGAACCCAGGTCCACAGATTCCAGAGCTCCTGCCCTTGAAGCCACCTGGCTAGTTCCTGCCAGGACTGCCCTCTCCCAGTCCTACTATCTTCCTCTCTCCTAACCTGCTCATTCAGCTGCCACTTGCTGGCTGTCTCCTCCCCCACAGGGCCCCTGTGCGGCGTCCTGGTGGAACGCTTTGGCTACCGAGTGACTGCGATGCTGGGGGGCGTGCTGGCCAGCCTGGGCATGGTGGCCAGCTCCTTCTCCCATACCCTTATCCAGCTCTACATCACGGCAGGATTCATTACAGGTGACTGTCGTTCCATCTCTAGAATTACCGGGTTGATCGTCTACCTAAACGAGTGGGCAGGGCAGGCAAGCCTCTTAATCTGGGCCTGCTCACAGGCTAGTGAGGGAGATAACAACAAACAGACACATAGGAATGTCTAAACGCTTCTGCTCACAGTACTGGATGGAAAGACAGGACAGGTAGGAGCAGTGTGGTCAGAGGTGATGGGGAATGTCTGCAAGAAACAGGTTCGGAGGGAACAGGAAAGGAAATTGGAGGAGGAGATGGCAGAGGTAGACATTAGTGCCACAGTGTTTTGATGGGAAGGGATCAGAGAAATGGGCCAGAGCTTTTGGGGTTTTTTAAATGGGAAAAATAGCAGTGAAGGATGGCACAGGAGAGAGGGGTATTGCTGGAGAATGTCTCAGAGTAGACAGGACACAGGGCAGTAGAGGGACAGCCGCTGGGGACATAGGCAAGCCACTGTGCATGAGCATGGTGATGGCATGCACAAAGGCAGAAGACTCCCACGTGGTCTTGGGCAGGGTGAGCAGGCAAGGGGATGGCTGAGGGAGCCATAGGGACAACACAGGCAGCTCGAGCCCCAAGGCCAGTGATCAAAATGGGGTCTCCAGTTTGCTGTGCAAGTGTAGGTGGAGTGGGAGGGGGGTTGGGAAGGCCCCTCTGGACGGGGGGCACTTGAGCTGAGATGAGAGAGAAGTCAGGAGGAAACATCCAGAGGGAGAGAAAGAAGCTTGGTCACAGTGAGTGACAGGGAGTGGCCTGAGATGACATCTCAGAGGTGGGTAGGAGCCAAGTGGCACAGAGCCTTCCAGAGCATAGTAGATGCTGTGCTCTTCAAGTATGATGGGAAGTCTCCAAAGGTGTTAAGCAGGGAGAGACTGAATTCAGTTTAGATTTGTAAAAGATCACTCTTAGCCAGGCAAGGTGGCTCATGCCTGTAATCCCAGCATTCTGGGAGGCCAAGGTGGGTAGATTGCCTGAGTTTAGGAGTTTGAGACCAGCCTGAGCAACAACAAGACCTTGTCTCTAAAAATAGCCAGGCATTGTGGTGGGCATCTGTAGTTTCAGCTACTTGGAGGCTGAGTCAAGAGGATCATTTGAGCGCCAGAGTTTGAGATTGCTGTGAGCTATGGCACTCTACCCAGGATGACAAAGTGAAACTCTGTTTTAAAAAAAAATATATCACCCTTGGCTCGGCACCTGTGGCTTAAGTGGCTAAAGCACCAGCCACATACACCAGAGCTGGTGGGTTCAAATCCAGCCCAGGCCTGCCAAACAACAATGACAACTACAACCAAAAAATAGCCAGGTGTTGTGGCGGGCACCTGTAGCCCCAGCTTCGTGGACACCAGAGGCAAGAGAATTGCTTAAGCCCAGGAGTTGGAGGTTGCTGTGAGCTATGATGTCACAGCACTCTACCTAGGGCGACAGCTTGAGGCTTTGTCTCCAAAAAAAAAAAAAAAAAGATGTATATATATATATCACCCTAGTGCTAGTGGCAGCCTTGAGAGAGTGGATCTAGGGTGGGACACTTAGAGGGAACTGGTGAGGCAGGCTGATTTAATCTTCAGTCCTCAAGGGACTTTGAGGTGTGTCTGGGATAGAACCAAAGCAGTGCAGAAGAGTGCAATGACCCTTGCTTCGCCTGCTCTGGGTGCAGGTGAAAGTCCCAAACACTTCCAAGCTGGTTCCTTCTCTCCCCTTGCAGGCCTGGGCATGTGCTTCAGCTTCCAGTCCAGTGTCACAGTGCTGGGCTTCTACTTCATCCGCCAGCGGGCGCTGGCCAATGCACTGGCCTCGACGGGCACCTCCCTGGGCATCACACTCTGGCCGCTGCTCTCCCTCTACCTGCTGGAGGAGCTGGGCTGGAGGGGGACCTTCCTTGTCTTCGCGGGGGTCTTTCTCCACTGCTGCGCCTGCGGGGCCATCTTGAGGCCTGTGGCCACCAACATGCCCCTTAAGACCACAGAAATTCCCCTTTTACCTCCCAAGACACCTGCCCTAGGCTGTCTGGCAGTTTGTGGCCGGACCATCCAGCGCCGCCTGGCCTTCGACATCCTGCGGCACAATGCACGCTACTGCGTCTTCACTCTGGGTGTGATGTGGATGATCCTGGGTTTTCCTCTGCCACACGTCTTCCTGGTGCCATACGCTGTGCGGCATGGTGTGGATGAGCAGCGGGCGGCCCTACTCATCTCCATCATTGGCTTTAGCAACATCTTCCTGCGGCCCGTGGCTGGACTGGTGGCAAGCCAACCGGCATTTGCCAGTCACCGCAAGTACCTGTTCAGCCTGGCAGTCCTGCTCAACGGGCTCACCAACCTGGTGTGCGCGGTGTCTGCTGACTTCTCCGTGCTGGTGGGCTACAGCCTGGCATACAGCGTGTCCATGAGTGGCATTGGTGCCCTCATGTTCCAGGTCCTCATGGACATTGTCCCCATGGAGCGATTCCCCAGCGCCCTGGGCCTCTTCACCATCCTGGAGGGCATCGCTCTCCTCATCTCCCCACCATTGGCTGGTGAGGCCAGGAGGGGAGCAGTCAGATGTGCTCAGGTGTGACCTGGGTGGGTGGGGGATGGAACAAAGGGGAGAAGTCTGGAAAGATTTGGGCCCAGGCCAGCATCCCCAGAAGACTGTCCTACAGCCAGTTCCTTAACTGGCAATTGGGGTACCATGATAAACAGCGAAAAACATGGGTGTGTCTGCTGGACCTGCCTGACTCCTTCCTCTTCCTTCTTGTGCCTCTGTTTCCCATCAGTAAAGTGGGGTTAAGGGGATCTCACAGGCTTCTTTTTTTTTTTGAGACAGAGCCTCAAGCTGTCCCCCTGGGTAGAGTGCTGTGGCATCACAGCTCACAGCAACCTCCAACTCCTGGGCTCAAGCGAGTCTCCTGCCTCAGCCTCCCAAATAGCTGGGACCACAGGGGCCTGCCACAAGGCCCAGCTATTTTTTTGGTTGCAGCCGTCATTGTTATTTGGCAGACCTGGGCTGGATTCAAACCCTCCACCTTAGGTGTATGTGGCTGGCGCCTAAGCCACTTGAGCCACAGACGCCGAGCCCTCACAGGCTTCTTGTGAGGGTCCCAAGTCACACAGCACAGGGCTTAGGGGAGAGACATGGTGTGCAGTCAGCACTGTGCCTGTTTTTGCTTTTGTGAACACCCTGATTCTCCTAATTCCTGCCTGTGGGACCTGGGTGAATCATTTTCCTCCTCGGAGACACAATGTTATCTGCAAAATGCAGAACGGAATACCTGCCCTAACCAGGTATTCACCTGTGCCAGTTGCTAGGTGCACATGGCTGAATACAAAGGTCCTCGCCCTCTGGGGACTTACCTTCTGAAACAGGTAAACTTGGAAACTAAAGCAAAGAGACACATTTGTGACCATAGGGGTAAAAGAGACCATCTCTGGCAACATAGTGAGACTCTGACTCTACAAAAAACTTAGAAATTTGCCTGGCATGGTGGCAGGTATAATCCCAGTTACTACAGAGGCTGGGGCAGGAGGGTCACTCAAACCCAGGAGTATGGGGTTGCTGTGAGCTGTGATATCAGTGCCTTCTAGCCCGGGTGACAGAGTGAGACCCTGTCTCAAAAAAAAAAAAAAAATAGTAGAGACTCACATGAGAGGCAGCTGAAAGCGTGACACCCTAGCACCTGAGGGAAGGTGTGTAAAGCCCTTGGTGCTGAAGCACCCGACAGACAACATGTGCTGGTGGTTATTGTAGTAAAGCCAGAGGTTGACTCCAGCCCAGTGGGGACTCTTCCTCCAAGTGTGGCATTGGAAGTCCCAGTTTCTAAGGGAGTTCTCCAAGCAAACAAATGAAGGGAGCTATCCAGGAAGAGGTGTGGGTGACTCTGGCTCACTGTCCCCAAGGGTAAGGGGGTTATATATTCAGGCCGCTGACCCTTTCTACCCAGGCCAGAGTATTAGCATTTCTTCCCCTCTGTTCATCTTACAAACATCTTTCAAGTGCCTACTGGGTGCTAGCCATGATTCCTAGTACAGGCAGTCCCCGGGTTACGAACAACATAGGTTCTATAGGTTTATTCTTAAATCGACTTTGTATGTAACTTGGAACCAGTATATTTACCTATTAAAATAGCATCCATTCATAAGTGTAAGTTGTATGCAAATCAGATGTTGTAACTCGGGGACTACCTGTACAGCAGAGACAAAAATAAAATCCCCACACTCAGGGAACACAATTGAGTTGGGGGAGGCCTAGTAGCCCTGGGCAGTGGCCTAACCTGCTCTCTGTCCCACAGGGTTGCTCCTGGACACCACCAACAACTTCAGCTACATTTTCTTCATGTCCAGCTTCTTCCTCATCTCGGCTGCCCTCTTCATGGGCGGCAGCTTCTATTCCCTGCAGCAAAAGGAGCAGCACAGTAAGCAGACTGAGAAGGAAGGAGCCAGAGAGGAGGCTGCCCCAGAGTGGGGTCAGATCTTGGAAGGCAAAGACAGTCCTGAGAAGCGACTGTGCCCTGAGATCATGTATGTGACCAGCGTCTGAGCCTGCAGGTCTGTGAGTGACCACCATCTCAGCCCAGGAGTGGGATCTCCAGCTCTTCACCAGGGGCTGGTGAAGGCCGGCTCAGGAAGCCTGAGTCTAAGGCCGAATAGGCTCTATAAGTTGGGACTCAGCTAGGAGCTGGGGCCACGGAGTTGGATCCCCTCCTACCAGCAGAACCCAGGAGCAGACAGACCCTCCTGACTTCCTTGGACACCAAGGCACTTGGATCTGTCACACCAGCTCAGTTCAGCTGGCTGCTCACTGCTGCTCCTACAGCTCAATGCACTGGACCTCCAAGCCCAGCCTAGAGGCCTTCAACATCATTTCTCTTTGCCCTTCTCTGGCTTCCAGATGGTTCTGAAGAGCTCACCTTCCTCCAGGGCCCTTTTGCCCTGTCTTTCCAAGTGACCCAACCCTTCCTTTTTAAAGCAGCCAAGGGTGGTGGTGTGGTTGCCCCATGCAGGTCATGGGGCTCACACTAAGAGGCTGTGGTGGAGGGACAGGCCTGGATGCAGCACTGGGGCAGGTTAAAGGTCAAATGGAGTGCTCATCCTGGCACCTGCACAGAGGGCAGGAGGGGAGCCTTTGGCTTGGGTCCTAGATTGGTGAAGTCTGAGGTTCCCCTGCACTCTCAGGAGGGCCTGTTCTAGAGGCTGCCTCCCTCATCTGCCCCACTCTGTAACCTTGGTGGGGAATATTAATGCTGAGGTTGTAGGAAGCCAGACATTTGACTGGTGGAGGTGGGGAGAAGGCTGGTTAGGCACCCTGGATGAAGACTCCTGTGAAAATGAGGCTGCCTTGGTGACAGAAGCCCTTCTGATTCCCATCCTGTCCTCCTCCAGCCCCTCTTATCCCTGCCATATTAGAGCTGTCACCCCTGGGATGAGTAAATGGCTGGGTCAGGTGCCAGTCCAGCCTGCCCGCTGCTGGCTTATGTCTGGGGCTTGGAGGTCAGAGTTCCCCCCACTTAGGTCAGCACCCGGGGACTAACTTGTCATCAGCCCAGGCCTATCCCAGCAGGGTACCAAGGGAATGGGAAAACAGAGTTTGTTTGAATTAAACACAAAAATGTTCCCTGCAGCAGGTCATAAACTCTGTGAACTAATGAAACTGGAAAACAGGCCTGGAATAAGTATTCTCCTCCTCCTTCCCTTCTCCCTCTTGGCAGGGGCAGCTCAGGCTCAGGACATTGTTTGTTGATTCAGGCTCAACCAGGCTCCAGCAAGAAAACCTTATCAGGAGAATTGATTTTATTTTTGTGAACGGGTGCCAATCTTCCTCCTCCACACCGTCCAGCTGGCATGAATAAGCATCCTTCGGGTTATCGTGTGTCCTCCAGAACCTTTCCATGAGTCTCCCTCTTATGGCCAAAGAAGGTACTGCAGAGCTGAAGCCAAGGGCTCTGGGCCAGATTAAAGACGTAAATTCCTGTTTGACTCTGCCACAATTTGCTATATGACTTTGGGCAAATTGTTGACCATCTCTGAGCCTTGAAAAAGGAGGATGTTGGCCTGGATGAACTAAAGTCTCTTCCAATTTGGAAAGTTGACTCTGTGAGTGTTCTGAGACTGTTATGGCCTTCTAGCAGCTCCCTAGTCAGGCTTTGACTTGGCTACCATATGCAGCTCATGGTCTGAAGGAAAAACATTTCACCAAGTCCTGCCTGCTTCTCCATCTCAAGTAGAAAAGGAGAGAGTAGGGGCTGGTAGGTAGGTGCTTCTGTTGCCAGTGTTCATCAGACTGATATCTTTTATGTTCCCTAATAGGCCTAATGTTCTGAAAATGAGATCAGTGAACAGGGAACTTTGACCTCATCTTCCCCCTAGGCAAGAATGACAATAATCCCTATGCAGAATCCCTTCAATAAATATTTATTGAGCATCTACTGTGTGTCAGTGACTAGTTGCTACCCTCAGCACAAAAGCAAAGGCTGACAATTCTTTCTCAAGGAGAAGTGACCCTGAAGCCTTAGCTTAAGAGCAGACACACGGGAGGACAGAGTGGCCCATCTGATTCCAGAACCAACACTGAGCTGATTTCCAAGGAATCCTCTAGAAAGGGCCTGGGATAGTTCCTAGACATAGAGCAGTAGAGCCCTGAGCTCTACTTCCATCCTATCCTCTGAGCCCTGAGCTCCTCTTTGCTACTCTGTCCAGAGAAAGGCAGAGAAGTCCCCTGGCCACTTTTGGTTGGGATGCACTTCCCACACAGACTCCAAAGGGCCTGGTGAGGGTCCATCACTCTCCCTGAGAGCAGCAAGAGTTCCCAAGCACCCAAACTAAGGTTAAAACTTCTGCCCCAGAGGTGTGCACAGGGCAGGAGCTGACCACAAAGACCTGAAACTTCAGAGGTGGGGACTGTTTCCAGTAGGGTGCAGCAGGCTGTAGTGTGGTGGCCATTGTGCCTGTATCCAGGCCCAGGGCTGAAGGACAGTCCTTGACCTTGTCAACCTAAATAACAGAGGCTTTCTAAAATAATTATCTAGGAATAGGGCATTGCCATGGAAATACACATCTCACAGTAAACCATGTGCATATTCAGGGAGGTCAAGGAAGACAAAAGTTTTTAAAGGAAAAATGAGGCTTACATACTTTATTGAGATAATTATCCTTAGCTACAAGGATTAATAAAAAGAGTGACTTCAGTCTGAGGTTACACAGGCTGGGCAGATGTTCTTCCAGAAGTATTTATTTTGAGACAGCCTCACTTTGTCACCCTCAGTAGAGTGCTATAGAATCACAGCTCACAGCAACCTCAAACACTTGGGCTCAAGCGATTCTCTTGCCTCAGCCTCCCGAGTAGCTGGGACTACAGGCGCTAGCCACAACGCCCAACTATTTTTAGAGATGAGGTCTCACTCTGGCTCAGGCTGGTCTCGAACTCGTGAGCTCAGGCAATCCACCCACCTTGGCTTCCCAGAGTGCAAGGATTACAGGCATTAGTCACCACACCCGGCCCCGAAGTATTTTTTGTGTAAGGTTGCAACAGCCTTTTGTGCAAGGTTGTAGTGCGTTGTTTGTTTTTATTTTTTTGAGACGAAGTCTCACTTTATCGGCCTGGATAAGGCTCCCGCCACAACGCCTGGCCAGTAGAGACGGGGTCTCAAACTCCTGAGCTGAAATCCACCTGCCCAGGGCTCCCAGAGTGCTGGGATAATAGGTGTGAGCCACCATGCCCAACCTTGGTTTTTTGTTTTTGCTTTAACACAGTCTCACTCCTTCCACAGGGCTGACAAAAAGCCTTAGGACATTGCAGTTTTCCCGATTTCTATCGAGAGATGACGGACCCAGCTCCGGGCTGCACAGGTGGCGGGGCATTGGGATATTAGGGTCGCCAGGCTTTTTGCAAGAGCCCATCCGACCGTAGGGGCCCACCCGATGCAAGAGCCGGGAGCTGACGCTCACGCTCCAAAGAGACATCCTGGTGGAGGAAGCTGGAATACACTTCGCCAGGGGATTCTGGAGGTGCTTCTGCCTCTACGTTCCACCACAAGGGCGTTCTCCGACTCCTCTGTGACCCTAAGGGGCCCTAAGGTAGCTCCACATTTCGGCCTCCGCAGACGAGCTCCCACTGGGAACATAGCCATAGGGTGGGTGGAGCGCCGCGCAAGCGCGCCGAGGAACTCGGAGACGGTCTGGTTACTGGCCCATTTAGTCCCGCCTCTTCCGCCCTCTGGGGGCGGGGTCAGCGTGGCTTCCGCTGGCGGAGCTCAGAACGTAACCCGGGAGTTGTGGGCTGGGATCTGTTACCCTCTCCTGCTGCAGTGGCAGACTGCCTCCGTGTCTCCTGAGGCCCCACCGTGGGTCCAGCTCCAAATTACTGCACCAGAAAAGGCCCCCTTTTGCCGCCCCCGTCCGCCTTTGCCCAGGCAAGGTGAGGTTCTTGCCCAGTTTTCCGGCCTCACCTTTCCCACTCTCCCACTCGTCCCTTGGGGTCTTCCATCGCCCTGATCATGGCCCAGAAGCCGAAAGTAGACCCCCACGTCGGACGGCTGGGATACCTGCAGGCACTGGTCACAGAATTTCAAGAGTCAGAGAGCCAAGGTGAGAGCCACAGGGTGGGAGCCGAGGGGCCGGACAGGGTGTGGCCGTGACTGCTGCCCCGGACCTGGCTCTAGTGCCACTATTCTGTTGCAGACGCCAAGGAGCAAGTCCTTGCCAACCTCGCCAACTTCGCCTATGACCCCAGCAATTATCAGTATCTGCGGCAGCTGCAGGTTCTGGATTTATTTCTTGATTCGCTGTCTGAGGAGAATGAGACCCTGGTGGAATTTGCTATTGGTAAGCGTAGGGCCGGTTCCTCACGTGCCTGATGGGCTGGGATGGGATAAACGAGTTGGAAAAAGAATGTTTCAGCTGTAAAAGTAAACTCTTGCGATGTCTGTGCCACCTCCGCTTTTCACACGTTGTCCTGGTCACAGCAAATTTATTTATTTATTTATTTTTATGAGACGGAGCCTCAAGCTATCGCCCTGGGTAGAGTGCCATGGCATCACGCTCACAACAACCTCCAACTCCTGGGCTCAAGCGAGTCTCCTGCCTCAGCCTCCCAAGTAGCTGGGACTACAGGCGCCCGCCATAACGCCCGGCCATTTTTTTGGTTGCAGCCGTCATTGTTGTTTGGCGGCCCAGGCTGGGGATTCGAACCCGCCACCTTAGGTGTATGTGGCTGGCGCCTTAGCCGCTTGAGCCACAGGCGCAGAGCCGTCACAGCAAATTTAAGACAGGTATAGAACTCAACGTTCAGGACCTGCATGTCTGCCCTGCCCCCTCCTTAGAGATAAGATCATAAATGAAGTAATGGATTGATGCCACAAGGAGGGGAAAAAGTTTGTAAATTGCTCTTTTAAAACATCTGTATTACAGGCAGCGCCTGTGGCTCAGTGAGTGGGGCTACTCGGGAGGCTGAGGCAAGAGAATGGCCTAAGCCCAAGAGCTGGAGGTTGCTGTGATGCCAGGGCACTCTAGGAGAGGGTGACAAAGTGAGACTGTCTCAAAAAAAAAAAAAAAAAGAAGAAGAAGAAAGAAAAATCTTTATCACTCTTGTAATTCTAACACTCTGGGAGGCTGAGATAGGAGGATCCCTTTAGCTTAGGAGTTCCAGACCAGCCTGAGCAGGAGTGAGACCTCCTGTCTTTACTAAAAATAGAAAGAATTGGACAGGCATGGTGACAGTCCTGTTGTCCCAGCTACTCGGGAGGCTGAGCCAGGAAGATCTCTTGAGCCCAGGAGTTTGAAGTTACAGTGAGCCATAATGAGGCCACTGCACTCCAGCCTAGGCAACAAAGCAAAACTGCCTCTCAAAAAAAAAAAAAAAAAAAAACCCAACCAGGCACAGTGGTTCACACCTATAATCCTAGCACTCTAGGAGGCCGAGGTGGGTGGATTGTTTGAGCTCACAGATTGGAGCCCAGCCTGAGCCAGAGTAAGACCCCGTCTCTTAAAATAGCTGGGTGTTGTGGTAGGTGCTGTAATCTCAGCTATGTAGGAGGCTGGGGCAAGAGAATTACTTGAGCCCAAGAGTTTGAGGTTGCTGTGAGCTATGACACTACAGCACTCTAGTGAAGGCAACAAAGTGAGACTCTGTCTCAAAAAAAAAAAATTAGAAACACAAAAATCTTTAATTTTTTTTTTTTTTTTTTTGAGACAGAGTCTCAAGCTGTTGCCCTAAGTAGAGTGCCCTGGTGTCATAGTGATACCGGAATTTCGCTTTTCAGTAGGTTCTTGGTCTCAGTGATTTGAAGAATGAATCCAGGGACCACAGATCAGTGGTAAGACAGGATTTATTTACAGAAAAGAATACAGAGCATCAGAGCTCCTGGCAGAGAGAGAAAACCCAAGTCAGGAGAGAAAAACTCTCTCTGTCTGTCAGTCCCTAGGCTCTTTGTCTAGGGGTATGTATAGTAGCATGTGGCCCTCAGTAGTTACATTTTGGGTGTTGAGACATAGCGTCTGGGACATGTCTGGGTCCTGTCTGGGTTGCAAATGAATGGCTACAATCCCTTTCATTCCCAGGCCTAGGAAATGGGGCCCCCCTGCCCTCCATCCAGCCCACTGGTTCCCCTGCTTACTGCTACTGCACCAACATCGCCAAGGCACAGGCAGCTGGTCCGCCCCCCCCAGCTCCACAAGCTGGCTGGGATGCCCCTTGTCCTGTATCAATAGCTCACAGCAACCTCCAACTCTTGGGCTTAAGAGATCCTCTTGCCTCAGCTTTATCTATTTGTAGTAGAGACGGGAGTCCGGCTTTTTGCTCAGGCTGGTCTGGAACCCCTGAGCTCAAGCAATCCACCCACTTCAGCCTCTCAGAGTGCTAGGATTGCAGGTGTGAGCCACCGTGCCTGGCCAGAACTTTAATTAGAACTTTAATCTGTTTTAAGAGAAGTAGAGATGACTTTGGATCTGTGGCTTATGGTTCCCATAGTTGTTGATTTTAAAACCTATTGAATTAGTCACTAGACAGATATCTGGGGGTTGGCTCGGCACCTATAGCTCAACCAGCTAAGGCGCCAGCCACCTACACCTAAGGTGGTGGGTTCGAATCCCCAGCCCGGACCGGCCAAACAACGACGACGGCTGCAACCAAAAAATAGCCTGGCGTTGTGGCAGGCGCCTGTGGTCTCAGCTACTTGGGAGGCGGAGGCAGGAGACTGGCTTGAGCCCAGGAGTTGGAGGTTGCTGTGAGCTGTAATGCCATGACACTCTACCCAGGGGGATAGCTTGAGGCTCCGTCTCAAAAAAAAAAAAAAAAAAGATATCTGGGGGGTATATGTTGTATAAGGAAGCTACTGTTCTAAACACTGGGAGATGGGGAAGGTCTTTGCTCTCAAGGAGGCTACATTCCAGTAGGGGGAGACAGTGAACAAACAATAGGATGCTCAGAAGGAAATACATAGGGTGATGAAGAGCAATAGAAGATCGGGGCTACTTCAGTTTTGCTCATCATGAGAAGGGCATTCTGGCAGACATGTGGTATGGGCAAAGGCCCTAAACCAGGCAGGGACCAGCAAGAAGGTTGGTGTGGCACAATTGTGCTAATGAGGTGGGGAATAGCACAAAAAATAGGTTAGAGAGTTTGGTGACATCAGAGCTTACAGAAGCTTAGTTCCAGGCCATATAGGAAGGGATTGGGAATTTATTCTCAGAGCAAACAGTGATTTTTTTTTTTTTTTCCCAAGCCATGCCCAGCATCTACCTATAGTTCCAGCTACTCAGGAAGCTGAGATGGGAGATGAGGAGGAGTTTGAGGCTGCATTGAGCTATGATCACACCTGTGCATGGCCTCTGCACTCCAGCCTGGGCAACAGAACGAGACGACCTCGTCTCTTAGAAATGCTCGGCTCGGCGCCTGTGGCTCAAGTGGCTAAGGCGCCAGCCACATACACCTAAGGTAGCGGGTTCGCATCCAGCCCAAGCCTGCCAAACAATGATGGCTGCAACCAAAAAAAAAAAAAAGAAAGAAAGAAATGCTCATTTTCAGTATGCAGCTATAAAAAATAACATTTTTCTACATAGTGAAAGGAACCTTACCTAAATAGGGAAAAAAAAACTTTAATAATAATTACAGTATCACCTAATATTCAGTATGCAAATTTTTCTAGTAGTTCCCAAAAGGACATTTCTGTCTTAGTTTGTATAAACCAGGATCTGTGCATTTCGCCTGGTTGTTCCTTAGATCTCTTTCTCTTTTTGTTTTTTGAGATAGTCTCACTTTGTTGCCTGAGCTAGAGTGGTGTGACATCAGAGCTCATAGCAACTTCAAACTCCTAAGCTCAAGGGATCCTCCTGCCTCGGCCTCATTGAGTGCTAGGATTACAGGCATGGGCCCAGCCCTGTATATTTTAAAATAAATTTATCTAAGAATAGTTTTTTCTTTTCTTTTTTTTTTTTTTGAGACAGAGCCTCAAGCTGTCCCCGTAGGTAGAGTGCTATGGCATCACAGCTCACAACAACCTCCAACTCCTGAGCTCAAGCGAGTCTCTTGCCTCCGCCTCCCAAGTAGCTGGGACCATAGGTGCCCGCCACAATGCCTGGCTCTTTTTTGGTTGCAGCTGTCATTGTTGTTTGGCGGGCCCAGGCTGGATTCGAACCCACCACCTTAGGTGTATGTGGCTGGCGCATTAGCCACTTGAGCCACAGGCACGGAGCCTAAGAATAGTGTTTTTGTTTGTTTGTTTTTTGTTTTTAAGGCAGGGTCTTGCTTTGTCTCCCAGGCTAGAGTGCAGTGGCATCATCATAGCCCACTGTAGCCTCAAACTCCTGGGTTCAAGGGATCCTCCTGCTAAAGCTTCCCAAGTAGCTGGGACTATAGGGATATGCCATCATGCTCAGCTAATTTATTTTCTGTAGAAATGGGATCTTGGTTTTTCTCAGACTGATCTCAAACTCCTGGCCTCAATCAGTCCTTCACCTCAGCCTCTCAGAATGCTAGGAATATAAGTGTGAGCCACTGCACTTGGTCATATTTTAAAATAGGTTTAGAAAAATTACAAAGATAATGAAGAGAATTCCCATAGAACCCAGTTTTCCCTGTTATTAACTTCTTACACGAGTATGGTACATTTGTTATCAGTAATAAACCAGTATTCATATATTATTATTAACTAAAGTCCATACTTTATTCAAATTTTTTCCTAATGCCCTTTTTCTGGTCCCACATTACATTTACTCATCTTGTGTTAGATCTCTTCTGGCCTTGGCTAGTCTCAGACCTTCCTTATTTTTTATAGTCATGACAATTTTGGGGAGTGCTGCTCGGGTAATTTATAGACCACCTCTCAGTTGGGATTTGTCTGGTGTTTTTCTCATGATTAGACTGGGTCATGGATTTTTGGACCACCAAGGTAAAGTGCCATTTTTATAGCACTCAAGAGTTCAGATGATCTAGCCAGGCCTTGTGGTGGGCACCTATAGTCCCAGCTACTTGGGAGGCTGAGGCAAGAGAATCGCTTAAGCCCAAGAGTTGGAGGTTGCTGTGAGCT